GTATGAAATCTCTTAATTTAAATAAATTGTAGTTAACCATGTACATATAAATTTAGTTATAAATGATAACGAGTCAGTTAGTTATAAGTTAATTGATAATAATTTATATTTAATTTGATTGGCAAGACATATTTTTTGCTAAAAGTATTTAATATTTTAGATTCAATATTTAAATTATGACTATAACTATTTAAATAAAATTTTTCATGTAATTAACACATTTTTAAAGCCTCCCAGCTTATAATATTTAATTTGTATAAGTGTATTGTTTTATTAGTATTTAAATTTAAAAATTTTTTAAATTTTTTTAGTTAATCATAATTTTTTCAAATCCTAGTGTGATATTTATTATGGGATAGACAATTGATAATATTTAGGCACATAGTATGAACAATCATTAAAGCTATTTATAAAAAGGATAAATACAATATTTTATGGGCTGATACTGAATAAATGGTTACTATAATCATGAAGCTTAATATACTTATATTTAACAAGATGTATTAAGTTAAACTTATTTTAAATTGATTGTCTCTATTAAGTCAAAAAATACGATTTTTAAATTTTGAACTAGTATAATTTTCCCTTTTCATCTACTAATAAATGTAATAAATGTACGATTGCTGAGTCAGTAATACTTCAATTTTTCTCGATAGGGATGTGATGTTCGAATCACCCCGGGCATAATAACTTTTTTTAAAAAACATTTTTGAGTATAGGAAAGAAATTTAAATTTTGTTTCATTTTTATCTTATTAAAATTGAATTCATATAACTTAAATGGGTATCAAGGATCCTATCATTGTGGCGAGGGACTCCGTGTGTAACTTTTAATACACTATTTTCAGTGTGATGTCAACTATTATGAAGATATTTACGAAATATTCCAAGCAAGTACGAAGTTACTTTCTTCCGCTTCACCAATCTTCTCCAAAGGTGCTAAATTAAATCTCAATTAAATCTTAGCAACATCAATTGACACTGGTGCACACTCCAGTGTCGCGTTAAATCCTTCAATTTTTTTACACGTTTGCCTAGAAGGTAACAAAATATATAATTACTTTTAATTTTTTTTCTATTTCTCCGTAAAAATTAAAATATTAAATAACAATTATCAATTTCATACTAAATTTAATTACTATAATAACTATTTATTCATAAATTATAATTATAATACAAAGAGCTGCCGATCAAGATACAATTAAGGAAATAGGAGATAACATTGCTTTTAGAATAATCCAATTTACAGATTTGCATTGAAACGTTTCTTATATTAAAGAATCACTATCAAATATCATATATATTTGTTCCAACTATGCCACGTTCTCACGTACAATGACCCCATTGCGTTACCGTTGTTTTAACTTCGGTTAAACTAAGTTAGATGAAGAACAACAAAAACTGTAAAAAATTAAATGCCTACTATAGATTTTACTACAAAGATTTATAAATCACTAAATTTTTAAATAAATTCTTTTATCACTTTAAATCAAACACGATAAAATTCAGTCTTCAAATATAATCTGTAAAAATATTTAATAGCTTTTAGCGAAATTCATCACAAAACTATTATATTATTATATTTAACTTTAATATTTTATTGTTCTTTAATCATTAGTAAAATGTCTCAATATTGTTTTTATAACAATATTTTTTAATAAATTCATAAAATTTGTAGATATTTTGATATAAAATAAAATGTATTCAACATTTTACAAGATTTTCGATTTTTTATACTAGATTAATTACTAAAAACTAACACACAATAAATGTTACAGAAACAATTATTACACATTGTATGGTACAGAACGCCTTTAGAAGGATCTAATTGACCAGTTGTTATAAAGATCATTGATTATATTATTTCGTGGGACAGCTGATCACCAGCATCTTGCTTTAATCACCCCCTTGCCCAACCATCACAGCAAATCGATGACATCCGTGTCGGTTTTCATCCATGTACAGTTCATTGACATAAGTCAGTCAGTCGATTGTTTTACGTGTCACTTTTTTTTTTCTGTTGCAAGCGCCTTCGCTTGAATAGTAAATTACTTGTACGCCATAGTTTTCTTATTATTTGTTTATTGCACCCTTGTGCTCAAAATTTACGTGCCCTTGCACGCCACTAGTGATTGGACCCTGACCATCACTAAACATTATCATTGCCGTATTCTGTTGTCATCTGCCATTACTTGCCTGGATTTACACTCTGACTCTTCATGCTCAGATGTTCGACACCATTATCATAAGATCTCATACAGTCCACTCATCAACATCAACAATGTCATCTATACAGCTGAGTTTTATATTATTTTTAATGTTATTTATTGTTTGCTTTAATTGAGATTAACTATATGTTTTATGCCACTTCGCCGGCCACTAGTATTTAAGAGCCCCCCCGTTACTCCTTAAATTTAAGATACTCTCTGAGGAATTTCTAATATATATGATTATTTGTTATTTAATTATTGTCTACTTTCGTTTACTTATTGGATAAATCCAATCCAATCGACCCATATAGTGTCATATATATGGGCCAATAGACCCATCGGTCTAGCTGCCTCGAACGCAACACACATTAAATTAAATTAAATTTTTTTAGAGATAAACAATCCTAGATCACAATCGAGACAATATTCGAATGCTCATTGAATAAGCATTTCGAATATAATATTACCCGATTTAGAAAATATATATAACTTGGTATAGTTTTCCACTGGTGTACAGATTTACTAATTAATTAATTCTATGATATTTGTAAGCTCTATCAATGTTTTGTTATTTTTATGTATCTTAGCGATCATCAATCAAAGTAAACAAGCAGAACTAATATCATTTGTAATATTCAAATTGAATTTATCATTTCAGTTTACGTGTATTGAACATAAATATGGCCAATCTATTTGGAAATCTATTTCCTATTTTAGCTTCCATGTTATTTGACCCAAATTTGCAGAATTATACCTTTGTAACCACATGGACAACTGTTGTGGTGCCAGTTTCGAGTGTTGTAAATTATTCCATTGGACTAACTGAATTTAAGCTAAGTTCGTCTTTACCGAAAGGTATAAAGACAACAATGATCAGCAATCTTACAACAAGTACATCTCTAATTTCTGATTCGACTACGTCTAAGAAAAATTCATTGAAACACAATTTGAAGAAACAACGCAAGATTAAGAAGAAAAATAAGAAGTCTAAAAAGAGGAATAAAAAGAACAATTCCAAGAAGAGGAATATGATGAAGGCATCTACTATGATGTATCAGACGATTAAAAAAACGGTACGGCCACTGTGCTCTTTTCTATAACAACTTTAAATGATATTTTACCTATGGTCCTCATAATTTTTTGGTCGGAGATATTATACATGTCAAATACGACATCATCATTGAAGTTGATGAAGGCCAGTTCAAATGATTCTACAACCGTAATAACTCACTTTTTAGAGAGTCACCTTGTTTTGAAACATTTTAATGTTCTATCATTGATTATTTAGTTGATTTCAAATGATATTTTACTTTGCTTGTTCGATCGATTCTTTGGTTAGAAGTATTACTCTTTGAATTTTTATATTTTTTATTTTTGTAAGGTTTTTTCTTGTGACGTTGTTTGGTTGAATTCATTATAAATAACAATTGTTTGAAATTTTCACTAGAAATAATTAGAGTTGTATTATTACAATTAAAAGTTCAATAATAGAACTTTTAAATTACTCAAAACAAGGTGAATCGTCATTCAACGAGTCATTGTAATTATTGAGTCAGCCTTCGTCAGCTCAAACGATGTTGTATTTGACTACTTTTTATCATATTCAATCAAGATATTAAGGGGACCAACGTTATTAGTGTCACCAATATCTTCACAGCAAAATTTTGAGATACAGGACTCGGATAAATGGTTATTTTACGCTATCAGTTTGATTATCGTAGTAGTTCTGGTTGGTTTATTGTGTGGTATTGTTTTGATGTTGTATGCAATAAAAAGACGATATATGTTTAACGGGAGACCTATTGAACATATCTTAAGATGTTTCAAAGGTAATAAAGGGACAAATGTCAACGACGAAATTCCACTTCACGATGACATTTGGATGGTTTAATATAAAAAAATAACTTTTTACTTTTAATAGTAGTTCAATTTAAACTTTAATATATTTATAGACCCTAGCTTTTAGTAATTACTTAGATTTATTATAATGAAATTTTTAATGCAAAATATTTTATTTATATTATATTCGTCACGTTATACGATTATTATATTCGTTACGTTATACGATTATTATATTCGTTATTATACGAATATATTTATTTATATTTGCATTATTATATTTTAATAATAAATACATATTGATTAAAATATTAGTATTAACTTATTGCTAATAAATCACTATATTGTGAGGTAGGTATGTGCTAGGTCATTTTGATATGAAAATAAGTATAACAATTTGTTAGAATACATTTTATCAATTATTTTCATTCAACTAATAAGATCTCTATATTTGTAATATTGCTTAATATTAAGTTATAAAGTTTCGCATTACGTTTCTGTTATAACTATTATATCATTAATTGTCAGGTCCAATACAGATCATTTAATCCGCTTTAAATCAACTCAACGATTATAGAATGATATAATATTTTATTTAGATTTCATCTCATATTTTTAACTGTACAATAAGTTATCTAGGTAAGTATGACTATCCCATAATATAAATAATTATCTAAATTTACTAAAACTTTAATTTGAGAATTCATCTTTTTTCATTCACTCACTTTGGTAATACTTTGAAAATATTAATTCATTATTCTGTTTTTTATCTTTATTTTACATTCAATTGAAATTAATCATACATAGCTTCTTATTAAAGTATACCTCTGTATTGTATTTATATAAATTTAGGTTATTTAAATAGTGGCGTGTCTATCGGGAAGACGGAAACTCTGTTTCCAGAATAAGTTATAGGTATAGGTAAATAATTATAAAACTCATTAAAAACAAATAATATTGTTCATACATATATTGTTATGCACACAGGCTTAGTCTTGTTTTATTTTATTTTGCTAAATCAGTTAAACTGTTGATGATGCAACTGGGTTGCTAAAAGTAAATTATGCATTTCAGTTCAACTTTGCGTCATTACTTTTTATGAAATATTTTTCGAAATCCAAAATTATTTTCATAAAGTTATAAAAATTCCCTACAAATTTATACAAGATGGGTCACTAAATATAAATATATTCATTATTTTTTTCAATTTGAACCTGTTATAAAAAAAATTTGTTAAAAAGTTTAAAAAATAAAAGAGACCTCAAGATCCAAAGGGTTATTAAATCAATTGCTATTTTATTTTTTTTTTGGTAAACTATTTAATTTACTCTTTTCTGATAAAATTGTATTAATTATGAGTATACTTTTAATACACTCACATACTCTTATCATATCTAAATATTTCTAGAAATTAAGATAAAAAAGATAGAATTAAATTATTAGTAAATTGATTAATAATTTAAATACTCAACAAATGATTTTAAAAGTAATGAATATGCAGCTCAAAATAGATGAGCAATGTATTTTACAGTGGTAGATATTATAATAAAGAAATGAACGTAATATATGATAGCCATTTCCGTTTTTCAGAAATATATTAACCCAACCGTTCTTTATACGTCTAATTTTTTTTATACCAAAGTTTTTTATAATTACATTTACAAAAAATCATGAAATAAATTTTTGATCTGAAAAATACATTGTATTTTCTTATACATTACTTTCAACATAAAAACTATAAAATAAAAAAATTCATCAGTGAAAGTTCACTTGATAAGGGTTATAATATTAATTATGTCAAAGAAAATTAAGTACATGTAATACCAGTTCCTTCAAAAATATAAAGAAAAATACTTCCTACATTTTAGTATACAGGGTGATTTTTTTATCATGACTCACTCAATTACTTACATAATAATAATAATTTAAACAATTTTTTTTTATTATATTTAGTTACACATTATTCTTGAATTATTGTGTAATTATTATAACTATGTAATACTTTTTAAGTTTATCCCTTATGCCTTATAAGTATGTCAACTTTGTTTTTTTAAATGGGAACACGTATTTTAAGTATATAAATACACTAACTAACAATATAGAAAGGATATCTATTGATAATCATAATTAATAATAAAAAATCCTAGATTATGAGAGCAATGTCATAAAAAATCAATTAGCTATCTGTATTTGTAATCCCTTGTGTATTATACATGTATATGAACTCAAAAATTTGAAACTTTAAATGTTTATATCTAATAAAAGAGTTAAATAAAAAAGTTATATTAAAAATTCAAATGCCATTTACTTATAAATTAAAAACTCAAACATTTTATTAAATTAAAAATACGTGTCCCATTTAAAAAAACAAAGTTGACAGCCTTATAAGGCATAAGGGATAAACTTAAAAATTTTACATAACTTAAAAAAATTTTTGATGAATTATGATATTTAATAAATAAATGTAATTAATGAATTACCAACTTGTCTTCAGAAAACAATATTATTACGATTGTTTTATTCCTTGATTTTACTTTTTTAATTTTACTCAAAAATTGTTTTAATTTTAAAGTAGTATAACATTTTTTGTAAGAAAATCTCTAAATAAAAGCCTATTTTTAAATTTTAAAAAATTCAATATGTTTATACATCGATTAATTGTATCAATAGTTATAAAAGTTAGTTTGATCTATTTCAAACTGTACAATGTTTTTTCGATTGTTACAATAATAGAGTTGTTTTGCCAAATAGAACGACATCATAATAAATATTATTGATAGGTTTACTGTATTACGAACTATCCAAAAATGTTATTAGAAGCTCGGGATGATCTTTCTTTTGGAAAACCTTTTGCAAACGGTTTCTTAGCGTTTGTAGTTAAATAAAAAGTACCTCGTGCCCTAGAAAAATGGATTAAATCGTAAATATATTTTTTAAATAATTTTCTGTTATAAAAATTTTTAATATTCAATATTAATTGTTATAAAAATCACCTTAAAAAGACTGAAAGTTAGTTTAATTACAAGATAATAAACTTACTTATGTGTTATATGTTCACCCATTAAAACGTATTCCGATTCTGGCGAGTCACATAGGCCAAGATTAAATAAAAATCGATTACTACAAGGTTTTGCCCAAAAACCGATATCACTATTGATTGATTCAATGAAGTAAGGCGAAACTTTAGTATGATCACAGGATAGAGTTCCTAAAAATGTATAAAATAATTTATCCTTTAGACTGAAAAAAAAAATTAATTTTTTATGTAGCGCATACCTACTTACTTTAAATCAAGTAATATTAATCTATTATTTTTCCCTTATACATTTATTCAGGTAACAAAAGATTAATAATAAAAATTAACTTTCAAGGTTTTCCAGTTTATTTTAAACAGGATTGAGTTCTAATAAAATATTTTATAATAAGTACCAGTACTTTGAGTACTTTCTTATAAGATATTTTGTGATTGCACCTGTCTCTTTATATTTTTAAAAAAGAACTTTATATACTAGAACAGTTCTTTCCATGATTGATATTTGTTGGAATATTATTTGTTATGGACAAAGATAAAAAATTGTATCAATTTCATAATAAATTATTTAGTTTTTTTTCCAAAGTTACCGAAAGAAAAAAAATTTTAATTATTTTTGAGCTGATGACCTTGAATTAATGTTTTTATATATTTAAGTGCCTCGCAGACACAAATCTTTATTAATAATATTATTCTAATATAATTTTTATATAATCCTTTCATTTTTATATTATGGATGTATATATGTTAATAAGGAAATTTTTATTTTTGTTTATAATTTATACATAAATGACTTACGAATTAAACTATTACTAACACAACCCGGTTGAGACGTTCCTCCATTTACATAAAAATCAGCATGACCATTGGGACCCCATTGCCCAAAAAAACCAGCTGCAGTGTGTATAATGTCAACAAAATGTGCATCAGTATGATCAAGATCTCTGGAACGATTATTTCCCATGTAAAATATAATAGTTGGATCCAAACCGGTGATACGGCCGATTTTTCCATTGTCGACAAAGTTTGATGTTAAGCCTGCGATGTGAGCACCGGCACTATATCTATAAAGAATATATTTTTACATAGAGATTGAATTAGGATTTAATATTACAGAGTAATGTTTGAGGTAAGTTACATCAAGCTTTTATACATTTAAAAAGTACAATAAATTTTATATCCACTTATTCTATTAAAAATGATAATATGAGTAAATTATAAACATGCTCATTAAATAGAATCATCTTTTTTAATATTATAAGCTTATTTTTAATAAAAAACGATTAACATTTTGAAGATTACCCCATGAAGTGCAATTTGTCCGGCTGAACTCCACGAGGATGAGATGCCAAATAGTTTACCAATTGGGCAATACACATAGCACAGAATCGTGGAGCCCATTCTAATTGACTTAAACATGGAGTTTGAGTCAATTTCGAATAATCAACGATTATGATATTGTATTTGCCTCTAGTGAAATATGCTACAATAAATAATTACAAATTAATTAATATACATTTATGGTTTATATAAATCTAAAAATTAAGTAACATACCATTTCGAAGATCAGTACTTGGGGACAAATTTCTGCCACCGTGATAACCATGAATTATAATCTTCACTGGATATTTAGGATTAAAATGAGATGAATACAAAGATTCCTGTTTAGTTACATCTAATAGGTCGGGTTTATTTTGTGTCAGTCTGTAAGAGATTATAAAATTGTTATTGTAATGATTCATTTTATTATTTATTCATAATAAACTTAATTAAACACCATTATTTTTTGATTATTAAAAATAAATATAGTACATTAATTTTAATAAGACTTAAACAGTATATATATTTACCTAGTGTACAAAAAAAATTGTATTCTGGGATGAGGACAAGAAAATGGCGGTTCAATACATGATGTTGAGTTGTATAATTCAGTTATTGTGTCAAGTTGATTTATTGGTTTTATTGGTAAGTCATTTGTAATAGAATTAGTATTTATTTGTTGCTGGGTTGATTTAGGGGATATTGATCGAGAAGCCGCTGTACGTATTTCGATTTTTTTAGAATTTAGGTTTTCTTGACAGGTAACTTTACCTGAAAATAAATTTATAAATTTGAATACCTAAACTTGTTCTAAACAAAAATTTTTAGCTTTAGGGCCAAAAAGTTATTTTATATATATATATATATAGAGAGAGAGATAGAGAGAGAGAGTGTTTAATAAGTCAGGAAATTATTTCTATTGCTCTCATTGTGCATAACAATTGACCTGTTTCCTTACTTTTTAAACACTCTACATTTATGTCAGATTTAACTGACAGCTCTACAACTTTTGATACAATTAAAATTTCGATGTATTTTTTTTTAAACAATTTTTGCATTCTTAGATTAAGTTAAAATCATATATATATTATTATTATTTATTACTATTAAGAAAAAATATGTATAAAAAATGTTTGTTTTTTATTATTTTTTAAATCTTAAAATAGCTAATTCTTAACTCTATTCGTACAAAATACATGTATGGGTTCATAATAATTCTATAACTCATTGAGTTATAGAAATTTTAATATATTGTGTGATTATCAATCACGGAGGAGTATACTGTCACTGCATACTTACTCAATGAGTACTTCTTTTTATTATTTATCACCAATAAAAAAATATTATATAAATGAACATTTTTTAATTTTTCAAAATGTTGAAATAATCATTATTTATCCATTTTCTTAGTAAAATTTATAATGGATTAATAACAATTTTAGGATGAGTAGTCATTGAGTTATAATAATAATAATAACACATTAAATTGGTAAGTGGTGCTGGTGGGTACAGTTTGTACTTGTGTACGTATTCTCCACCTGCATTCTATACCCACTTTATGTTTTAAAATGCTTTTAACTTGAATAAACATGCTAAAATTTTCGTAAGAAAAGTACTGAAAAATGGTTATTTTCAAATTTGAAAAAAAAAATAATAATTTCTTATAAAAATGATTAAACAAAATAGAAGTAATTAATTTACGTACATTTAGTTATTAAAATACAAAAGATATAAAATAATACTGAATAACTTGCTGTCTTCATTTTATTCATAGTTTATTCATGATCATCATTCATATTTACGCGTTTATTAATTAATCCTGAAATAACAGTAATCTCGTGTATTAATGATAAGTACAAATACTTTTAGAATAATATAGACAAAAAATGCAATAAAATATTTTTGGTATAAGAATATAATATAATATATACTGTTAATATATCTATAATGTTGCCAATATCGCTCAAACTCGTAAAAGTCTACCAAAAAAGTAATAGTGTCATAGCTCAGATAGCAATTTTAGAAAATTATGTTAAAACAATATTTTTAGAACATTAATATAAAATTATATGTTATAATAAAGGTTATAAAAACATTACTGAAAAAAAAAATATCTTATTAGGGAAGTATGGTAAAATTTTACTTGATTTATCAAATTACATATTATTTATAAAGTTATTTTAGATATAGAGATTATTTATAGGGCAAATTTTAATGTCATTATTTCTTCTTAAATTCAAAAATTATAATATAAAAATCATATAATTCCTCTTATTAAAAATCATTTGAGAAGAAAATAAACCAATTGATATTGCTAATTGAAACATATGATACATCTCTTTCACCTCAAATTGGGTCAATGTATTTTAAAATATATTTTTTTAATTAAATGTGTAAAATTTTAGAATTACAATTTTGAAAGTAAAATAATTTTTTCAATTTTTAAAGGTAATGGATTTGTGATCTTTTGACACATTCAAAATCAAAATCAAAAATAAGTGAGAGCTTAGAAAAAGTGGCAACAGACACACACAAAAAAAAACATTATAGTAAAATTAATACTATCTCAACTTCGCATCGAAGCTAAAATAAAAATTCTAGAAATAATTATTTGTTTTAAAAAGAAAAACTACTTTAAAATTTTAAAGATCCATAAAATAAAATTATTATAATTAATTATTTTTTTCATTATTATAACTTCTACCAAATGAAAGATTGTATAGATTTTTTTTCCTCATTATAATTTTTATAAGTTTTATTTTATTGCATTTTTATAGAAAAAATAAAATTTTTATTATTTTTTAAAATTTTTGCTACTCACGTTTATTTATAACGAAAAACTGCATAAGACGACATCCGTATGACAGGTGGACGCTCGCGATCGTCGATGGCGGTTAACTAAAAACGACTTCTATGTTTTCAATCAAGTCAATTTTTTACTATAAAAACAAATAATTTCATATGATCATAAGTTGTAAACTGTGTACTACAGATAAAATGTGGTGATTTTTTTTAATGAATTCTTTAATCATGACGCTTATTGGTGTGAAAACCAGCTTGTGTTAATTATATGTACAAAAACATCTATGAACGAAATAAATATTCATGTTAAAACATGGTCTCTTCTTACATGTTAATAAAATTTTATTACTCTTCAGAGTATTTCGATTACACGGTAAAAAATTGTGTTTTTTTCATTTTAAAAACCGCTATTGTATATGTAATCTTTCATTGAGATATTTATAGAATACATGTATAGCATTATTATTATTCAATTCTCAACTGATTTTTTTAACTTTTTTTTTTTTTTAATAAAAATTGTAGTTTTAAATTTGTTCAACTTACTCTCATCTTGTCTAATTAAATTTATAATTTGTTAACTTTTAACAGTTATCTTATCAACATTGTTCCTACTTAACTTAAATTGGGTTAGTTATTTCGATTACCTTGTCGATCTTTAAATATTATGCCTTTATATAAAGGCATAACACACACGGAATCAATATCACTCAATTTTTATCTTATTATCGATATTGTACCTATAACCAATAAGCATAATAACGGCTCCTTTATATAGTATTGGAACTACATCTCAGCACAGGTAATAACAAAAAAGTAAATGTAACGAGTCTTTTGTAATGAGTATTTTTGTGTAACTGTACCGAAAGGAAAGACTCCACCTATTGAAGCAAGGCATAGTGAATTCACATAGAGACGTGGAATAGTTGGGACAATGATATCTGATAGCGATTAAACATTACGATCATTAAAAACAATTCAATGAGAATCTGCTAAATTTCACAATAATTTGTATACTTAGAGAGCTTTATTTTTGTATAGTTTAAAAGTAGTTTGGCGAAGTATTTTTTTTCAAATTTTCAGCGCTGATAGCTTCAGCTAGATTAAAATCGGATTGTTTTGACGAATAAATAAATAAATGAACCAGTATATAGAGAGCTGAGAATTTCCATAGGCAGACAAACAAATTTTACACGTCATGGCAAATCTTCTCGGGTTTGCATTGATACTTAAATTAATAATAAAAATCGCAAAAAATAACAGCTCTATACCATTTTAGGCTTTTTTTGTGAAGAATCGAAGTTTGATGCATAATTTGTAGAATCTCTATACTCTTGATGTTATTCTATGGTTTTTCATATATTACTATATTTCTAATTAAGTTTCAATCATTATTTCAAGTGAATACATTTTTTCTTTGAAGACATAATATTTACTTGGTTTACAATAAATATAAAATAATATCGACTTTAAAATTTTCTGTTATACATTCTAATATATTTTATATATTATTTATTTAGAAATATGTTAGTTATTTACAATTTACTTACCTAAAGATAAGTAACTAGAAATATAATATTACCATAATAATATCTTTTGAGAATATTCTGGGGAATATTCTTAAGAATATTCAATTTTTGTGATCCTTATACTTATTTACTGGAGGCCTGATTATTTTCAAAATTTCATTTAGTAAAAAACAAATATTTTATTATTGAAAAAGTATAGTTTATAAACTTTTTTATTAGATTAAAGAGTTTAATATTTTATTTGGAATAATATAAAAAGTACCAAGTCATAAAATATGAAATTAACAAAGATGTAATTTATATATCTTGACATTTGTTCAATTATTCCCATGGACGCACAATATCTTGCAAAGATTCACTGCAACCCACTAAAACGCCCGAAGAATTATTAAATGTAAGAGTAACTTTGTATTCGCCATAAAAAAAAAAACTTTGAACGTCGCAGTTTTCGAATATGCTTTGATCAATTCCAGATGATACATAAACTCCCTATGAATGTAAATTAATTTAATCATAATATTGCTTTATATAATTAATTACAACATAATTTTTATAAAAATATATTTTTAAATTTGTACATCCAACACATTTATTTATTATATTGATTGTCACATACAATATAATTTACGTTAAACTCATACATTATGTTTGAAACTGCTAAAAGAGTTATTAATCCAGCATATGCTCATCTCTAGTTAGTAGTACTGGACATTTAAATACCACTACATAATTAGAATAGTTAAAAAATACATTATATTAATTTATAATAAATTTAAAAGTAAAAGGTACCACTTAAAAACATTATAAATAAAGATTTTTATCTCTGAAGGGACGTAAAAATGATTTAACTACATATTATTATATAGTTTTACGAACCAAATATTATGTCTCTTTACAAAAATTAAAAATTATCAATAATTTCTGACAAAATGAGTGTCTTGCCGGATTTCAGTCACTCTGTATATGTGTTGTAGTAATAGATTTTTATATTTATTTATACTTACCGGTGATATAGGGCAATCAGTTCCTTTGAAATTAAAAGCTTTAGTATAATTAAGCCAACGATTGCCCAGGTGCGATTTCAATGAGTTACAAGCGTTTTTGATAGTCATTAAATGTGAATTTTTAATCCAGCCACCGTTTGATCCTTTTACAGCGTAATTTAGATTTATCTATTTTGTTGTACATTTTTTATTAGAATTTTTTTTTTACCTTATAAGTAAACAATTTCTTACGGTCAATGAATCATCAAAAGGAATTAAAAATGTTAAATTGCCCATTATTTCAAATCGGGTTAGAGAAGTTTTACTCAAATAAATATTAAAATTGATTAAATGATCAAATTTGATATCGCAAGGCATGTATGCTTTAATTTTCATTTTAAATGGTCCCTAAAATAAATTTTGACTAAATAAAATTCTTTTTTTTTTTTATGAAAAAAAACATGTTATTACTGCCGGTAAATTAGGTCGAAATATTGGTTTATACTGATACGATGTTGTTGATGATGATGACCGAGAACACACCAAATTACTCATAAGAATAAAAAATAAAATATGAAAATTCATAACTGAATTTGGGTTTTCTCAGTAAGATAGTAATATAATTTTTACGAAAGTATCCACTGTTAACGTCGAAAAAAAATCTAAAATAATAAAATTTTTCTAGAATAAAACAAGAACAAAAAAGTTAAGAGAGTATCCAAGTACTTTTTTGGCGTATCAAAGCATGTCTTGGGAAAGTACAATCTGAAATTTTGGTTATTCAGAGGAAGATAATCAATTAATCAATCAAATTAAAATTACCGATAATTTACATAATTGATTTTTGAAGGATATTTTTTTAAAAATTTTATGTCATCTGAGAATGTAGATAATGCTTTAATTTTATGTAGCGATTAACTCGATATAACTAACGAGTCTTCCAAAACTATACTTTCTCCAGACATTTTTTAAAATATTTTCTCAATCATAGTAGCGCAAATTATATCGTCTCATCTCTAAACATTTAAATTACAGGTCAGAATATTTTAAATAAAAAAATATTATGAAAAATAAAATATTAAATTTTATAAAATATGTGCTTGTCTCCTCTATAATGGAAATGAATACATTAATCTATTTATGTTTGGAGTCTAAGCTTGGCAAAAGTGAATGGAAAACTCATGTAATGTAATGTATTATTTTTTCTTTTATAAATTACCATTATTTTTGTAAAATAAATAATTCACAAAATTTATTGAGGAATTTACTTTAAACTAGTTAGTTAAATTTGAAATTAACATAACTTACTCTTTTCGAAATTATCTAAGTAGGATAAAAAATATGTTCACTTTTTTAGCCTTTCTTTCAATATTATACGCAGTAAAAAATTACTAAAACATAAATATTATAACTATTAAATTATTTAAAAAATCATATTTGAATTTCAATATAAATTTAATACGTTTGGTTTTTTTTTCATTTATAAATATATAAGTCATACATACTGTTTATTATGCAGAAAACATAACTACTTATGAAAAATAAATTCAACATCAATCCTAATTGATCAAAAATCAATAAATTTCATACAAAAATACGATGAGTTGTGTTATTTTTTTAAATGGGAATTCTAATATAAAAAAGTTGTCACAACTATAAAGATCAACTTTTATATTAATATTCTGAGGTAACATAAATGCCAATTCAAGCGATGGCTAGAAGGTCGATTCTTTCATTTCATTGTATACCATGATTTTATATATGAGAGTTTTGTTAAAATAAATTTGCATCATTGTTGTACGATTAATATCCGAGGTTTTTCAAACATGAATAAAATAAGTAGAATTTATTAAAGACTATTATTAACTAAAGCAAATTAATACCTATTGTTGTATGATTTAATCTACATAGACTATCATTAGTTTTTTAACACGTTAACCACCGCTTTATTTGATTTAAATTTTGGAGTTTTATGAATACTGATGATGATATTTGATCTCTTTTTGCATGCTATATCGTACTATGAGTACTACAATATAGTAGCTTAAAATATGATTACTGTATTATTATATACTTATACATAGAATGAATTAATTACTTCCTGTTATTGATATACAAAATTGTTTAGTATTGTGAATTCAATTGTATATATATATATGTAAGATATATTTTATATATAAGATATATTTAAATGACATATTATTTTATTCCATTGTAAAGGGCGTCATTTTTACCATATACAGGGTGATTTTTTTATCATAACCCACTCAATTGCTTGCAGAATAATAATAATTTAAACATTTTTTTTTTTTATTATCTTTAGTTACACATTATTCTTGAATTTTTAACTATGTAATACTTTTTAAGTTCATCCCTTATGCCTTGGAAGGGGGTCAACTTTGTTTTTTTAAATGGTAACACATATTTTTAATTTAATAAAATGTTTGAGTTTTTAATTTAATAGTAAATGGCATTTGAATTTTTAATATAACTTAATTCGTTTATTAGATATAATCATTTAAAGTTTTAAATTTTTGAATTAATATACAGGTATAATACACAAGGGATTACAAATATAGGTAGCTAATTGGTTTTTTATAACATCGATATTAGCAGGTACACAGCATTGTTATTATCAATTGTAGTAAGGCACATTGTTATGAGTTTATAAATACACTAACTGACAATACAGAAAGTATATCTATTGATAATCATAATTGATAATAAACAATCCGTGACTGAGACAGCAATGTCATAAAAATCCAATTAACTACCTGTATTTACAATCCCATGTGTATTATACATGTATATTAACTCAAAATTTTGAAACTTTAAATGTTTATATCTAATAAGCTAATAAAGTTATATTAAAAATTCAAATGCCATTTACCATTAAATTAAAAACTCAAACATTTTATTAAATTAAAAATATGTGTTACCATTTAAAAAAACAAAGTTGACCCCCCTCCAAGGCATAAGGGATGAACTTAAAAAGTATTACATAGTTAAAAATTCAAGAATAATGTGTAACTAAAGATAATAAAACAAAAAAAGGTTTAAATTATTATTATTCTGCGAGTAATTGAGTGGGTTATGATAAAAAAATCACCCTGTATACCATAGATATTTTATACTTCACACTTTAGAATATAAAATCCGATTTTTCACATACACGTTTAGAAGTTTTTAATACACACACAATGTAAGGGAAAATTTAAGTAATAATTATTCAATTTTTATATATAAAAAAAAAAACACTAATTATTAGTGATAAAAATGTTATATTTTTGTACAAATTTTCGATACTTGATGTTACAATTACACTACTTGTGTGTAAAATTTACGTGTCTATAAAATATATCATACTAACGTATGGGAATTTTTTTATTCATTTTTACAGTGTCGTATTACTGTTGTCGGTCATCGTTTTCATAAATGTGAAATGTCAATCTCTTTTTGATTAACGAAAAAATTATTTGAAGTTTATATTCAGTTTTATTGAAGTTATACAATTCTATCAATATATGGTATTCACGTAAGGACTGAAAAAAACTGAACTGAAACTAAAGAGAGATATGAAAAATAATTTTCTATCTGAATAGTATAGTGCAAGTGAAGATAATTGGGACAAGCGTCAAGATCATTCTTAGATTTAAAAAGAAATATATATATATATATATATATATATAAGTATCAGTATTTCCGAAACAATTTCAAAAATTAAATTGAAAAAATACTATTTTCATTATGCAGTTTTAAGTTTTGAACCCCTCTATATAAAGGAAAATAATCCGATTTAAAAAAATATGTCGAATGAAAGAGGTATATATATATTAATTACCATAAAAAAATAATATTTATCTGTACATTTTTTAAAAAGTTATAGCAACATAAGGTTCAAAAATATAAAATCAAGAATTAAAATAAAATGAATGAATGAAAAAAAAAAATGTGAATAAAATCACAAAAATGCCATATTTTTGAATACGGCACTCTTTTTCACCATGAAGACAAGCTCAGAGTTCAAATTTTATTTTCAAATTAATCTACATTACATAAGCTTTAATATAGAATATATAAAAAGTGTCGGTATTTCTGGAATATTTTCAAAAGTTAAGTTGAAAAAGTTAATTTTTTACGGAAATGATACCATTTTGAAACCCCCCTGTAAAGGGTCAAATGTTCACAGAAATATACCAAATGATAGGTAAATACCTAAGTTATCTATATAAAAAATTGTGTTAATTTATTCATTTTTAAAAAAGTTATGGCAGTTTTAAATTGAAAAAGTTAGTGTTTGTAAAAAAGTTTTTATTTTGAATACCCTGTGAGCAGGTTAAGAGTTAGATTGTCAAAAAAATGATATCAAATAAACTCAAAATGACGTTCAAGTTTAAGAAAATGAATTATTTTACTTGGAAAAAAAATATTCTTCCTAAACCCTTATACTCAAATAAAATACATTTTTTTTTATTGAATGATTGCTAATTATCACCACATATTGATGTGTGAAGATTATCTCTTTCTAAAAGTATGTTTACATAATAAATAAAAGTATAAATATTATATATATAATTTATATTTAATACACATAAATATGTTTTCTATTAAATATATTTAACAAGATTCGTTAATGGTAATTTCTTAGTTAGTATGATTGAATAAAATTGATTATATTTTTTTAACGACAATAAAGAATATTTTAGTGTTATAATATCATAAAATATAAAAATAAGATTAAAAAATTGAAATACATTGACAGATTATAAAATCGATACATTGCTTTTAGTCCATTAAATGTATAGAAATTGTTTATTATTTTTAACAGATTTAATCAGTTTTTACTTAATATTTGAATCACAAAATAATAATAAATTATTAAATCTCTTTTAAAACTACTCAATTGAATTTAATTTAAAAAAAAAACAAATCAAAAGATTTACAAACTTCTAAGTTTTTAACTATTAAATACAATTTGAACTTGTGTAATAACTACAAATAGTACAATTTTTTTACAGTAATAATGAAGGTGTACAACTTTAATCAGACAGGAAGTGAAAATGGAATTAATCATAATCTACTGGAATAGAATTTTATTCTGATTCTAATATTATACTCATTATGCCAAACACTTGGTTAACCTTACAAAAAGTTGAAATACAATCGTTTTTTCTTATTTATGCCGCGGGTATGTATACTTTCAAATTATAATTACAATGTTAATTAAAATTTTACCAATAATTTTAAGCTTGCTAACATTGACTTAAACCAAAGGTTGAGTAATTAGTTTTGTTACGGAAAAAAGTAGTCTATAAATACGTAATATTAATATCAACTTTATCATATACAGATATATACAATTTATTCGATTTTGAAATTCATGGCTTCGAAAGAAATATACAACTAAACCAACTAAAAATGTGAAGTCCAATGTTCTATAATTATCCTTTACAGAACAAAATAGAAATACATTTAAATTACCAAGGGCAAAATTCTAGAAGAATAAAAAACGTTTGAACTTATTATTCTTAATGAATATTACTATGTATAGAGAAAACAAGATGATGATTTTCCAGACAATATTATACATTTTTTTTTATGCAATGTTTTAAATTAGTCTTATCACTATTATTATTTCTACATAAATGCAAACTAAAATTATATTTTATGGCATAATTTAATATTATATTTGGCACTACATACAATTATATATTATCATATTGTTATATTTTGTATATTCAATAATTTTTTTAAATCTATCTTTTATATGCAATTGATCATATTATTAACTTTTAACTATTTATATAATAGAACAAGAAAAAAAACATTTTTCTGGGAAAACTACTTAGCATGCTCGAATTTTAAAAATTATTTTTTTCAACAAAAGTACTCAATCACGAGACTTCGGGAAAATTATTGACGAAGATCGGAAAATTTTTGTCGTGACCCTGCGACGCTCGTTGACATGAGCGTCTTACGACTTAAGGTTTAAAATTTTTACCAGACCCACTCAATTGCATTTCTGAGATATCATAAAAAAATCAATTCAACCCGTTCATTTATCACCGTTTTACCGCCTTTTTTTAATTTTAAAAAGTCAACATACATAGCTTTATTATGGGCATTCATTCATTTCTGCGCATATGATTATTGTGACCCTTAATTTGCAAAATATGTATTTTTATGACGATTTAATTTTCAATTCAATTCATAATTAATATATGTTAATGTTGTCATACATGAATTGTTTGTTTTAGTTTATTAGCTATCTATTTTTTTATATTATATTATTTATTATATTATAATATTATATTTAGTTTGTTAAGATACTTTCTATTAATTTCATTTAAATAGGTTTATGATACAAATTTGTTGATATATTTAATCATGGTTATTGTTATATATATATATATCTTTTGTTTGAATATTTGCTTTATAATGAGCTTACTGTTCAATTGTACTTTTTCGCATTGAACTATTTTGCATTTGTCATTAGCACTAAATTTTGTATATTATATCAAGGAATGTTATATGTTATATATAAATAAGTTATACATAAATTTCAGGAAGGTTATAAGTATTTAACCTTGTACATTCATTATCAGAACAGTACAGTATTAATAATCTTATTTATCTCATAAATGATGCATGAGTCTATGAATTTATCGTGAAAATTGGGATCTATGACAACTATGCTGTCCAACGTCATGTCACAGTTACCAATATCTTTATCAAAATTAAATGTTTACATAGTCCCAGGTATAATAAGCTACCGATTTTTTTTGTAATTATTCTATAGTATAAAAACA